GTTGAGTTTAAGGCAAACTTTTCACTTTCCTCTTTCACTTTCATCAAGAGACTCTTTAGTTCCTCTTTTATGCCATAAGGGTGGTGTCATCTGCCCATCTGAGATTATTGATATTTCTCCCAGCAATCTTGATTCCAGCTTGTGCTTCATCCAGCCTCGCATTTGGCATGATGTACTCTTCATATAAGTTAAATAAGCAGGGTGACAATATACAGCCTTGACGTACTCTTTTCTCGATTTGGAACCAGTCTGTTTTCCATGTCCAGTTCTAACTGTTGCTTCTTGACCTGCATACAGATTTCTCAGGAGGTAGGTCAGGTGGTCTGGTATTTTCATCTCTTTCAGAATTTTCCAGAGTTTATTGTGATCCACAGGCAAAGGCTCCGGCATAGTCAATAAAGCAGAAGTAGATGTTTTTCTGGAACTCTCTTGCTTGTTCAATGATCCAGTGGATGTTGGAAATTTGATCTCTGGTTCCTCTGCCCTTTCTAAATCCAGCTTGAACATCAGGAAGTTCACAGTTCATGTACTGTTGAAGCCTGACTGGGAGGATTTTGAGCATTACTTTGCTAGCATGTTAGATGAGTGGAATTGTGCAGTAGTCTGAACCTTCTCTGGCATTGTCTTTCTTTGGGATTGGAATGAAAACTGACTTTTCCAGTCCTGTGGCCACTGCTGAATTTTCCAAATTTCCTGGCATACTGAGCACAGCTCTTTTACAACATCCGCTTTTAGGATTTGAAATAGGTCAACTAGAATTTCATCACCTCCACTAGCTTTGTTCATAGTAATGCTTCCTAAGGCCCACTTGACTTCACATTCCAGGATGTCTGGCTCTAGGTGAGTGATCACACCATCATGATTATCTGGGTCATGAAGATCTTTTTTGAATAGTTCTTCTATGTATTCTTGCCACCTCTCCTTAATATCTTCTGCTTCTGTTAGGCCCATACTGTTTCTGTCAGGTCCATATTGTTTCTGTCTTTTATTGTGCCCATCTTTGCATGAAATGTTCCCTTGGTATCTCTACTTTTCTTGAAGAGATCTCTAATTTTTCTCATTCTATTGTTTTCCTCTATTTCTTTGCATTCATCACTGAGGAAGTCTTTCTTATCTCTCCTTGCTATTCTTCAGAACTCTGCATTCAAATGCATATATCTTTCCTTTTCTCCTTTGCCTTTAGTTTCTCTTCTTTTCTCAGCTATTTGTAAGGCCTCCTCAGACAACCATCTTGTCTTTTTGCATTTCTTTTTCTTAGGGATGGTCTTGATCCCTGCATCTTGTACAATGTCATGAACCTCCACCCATAGTTCTTCAAGCACTCTATCAGATTAATCCCTTGAATCTATTTGGCACTGTATAATGTAAGGTATTTGCTTTAGGTCATGCCTGGATGGTCTAGTAGTTTTCCATACATTTTTTAATTTAAATTTGAATTTTCAATGAGTTCATGATCTGAGCCACAGTCAGCTCCCAGTCTTGTTTCTGCTGACTGTATAGAACTTCTCCATCTTTGGCTGCAAAGAATATAATCAATCTGATTTCAGTGTTGACCGTCTGGTGATGTCCATGTTTAGAGCCATCTCTTGTGTTGTTGGACGAGGGTGTTTACTATGACCAGTGTGTTCTCCTAGCAAAACTCTTTAGCCTTTGCCCTGCTTCATTCTGTTTTCCAAGGCCGAACTGTTACTTCAGGTATCTCTTTTCTTCCTACTTTTGCATTCCAGTCCCCTATAATGAAAAGGACATCTTTCCTGGGTGTTAGTTCTAGAAGGTCTTATAGGTCTTCATAGAACAGTTCAACTTCAGCTTCTTCAGCATTACTTGTTGGGGCATAGGAATTGGATAACTTAGATCAAATGGATAAATTCCTACAAACATATAAACTTCTAAGACTGAAATATAAAGAAATAGAATATCTGAATAGGCTGATTATTAGTAAAGAGATTGCCGAAAAAAAAAAAAAATCCCAACAAACAGAAGTACAGCATCAGACAGCTTCACCTGTGAATTTTATCAAACATAAAGACTGAATATCTATCCTTAAACTAATCCAAAAAGTGAAGAAGATGAAATACATCCAAAGTCATTTTATGAAGGCAGCATTATCCTGATAACAAAAACAGACAAGGACACATAAAAAAAGAAAATTACAGGCCAATATCTCCAATGGAATATAAAAGTCTTCAACAAAATATTAGCGAACTGAATTTGTGTATGCTGCATGCTTGGTTGCTTCACGACTGTGTGCTAGTCATGCCCAACTCTTTGCAACCCTATGGACTGCAGCCCACAGGCTCCTCTGTCCACAGGATTCTCCAGGTAAAAATAATGGAGTGGGATGCCCTCCTCCAGGGGGTCTTCTTGACCCAGGGATCGAACCCGCCTCTCTAGTGGCTCCTGCATTGGCAGGCAGGTTCTTTATCACTAGCATCATCTGTAAAGCCAAACTGAATGCAACCATATATAAAAAGGATGATCATGATCATCAAGACTTGTTCCAAGGATGCAAAGCTTGTTCTGCCTCCACAAATCAATAAATATGACACTCATACTTACAAAATGAAGCATTAAAAAATGTATGACTGCCTCCAGAGATGCAGAGAAAGCATTTCACAGACTTCAGCGTCTAATTATGATAAACACTCTCAACAAAGTGGGCAGAGAGGGTACATATTTTGACACAATAAAGGCTATATATGACAAACCCATAGATAATATAATACTAACTAGTGAAAAGCTGACAGGTATTCCTTTAAGATTAGGAACTATACATAAGAATACTCACTCTAAAATACTTTAATTCAACATAATATTGGAAGTCCTAGCCACAGCAGTTAGGGAAAAAAAGGAATAATAGAAATCCCAATTGGAAAGGATAAAGGAAAAATGTCACTATTTGCAGATGACATGATACTATATTAAAACAACAACAACAACAACAACAACTATAGATTCCACCAAAAACCCACAAACTCTTAGAACTAATAAATAAAATCAATAAAGTTTCATCATACAAAATCAATATACAGAAATCTGCTGTATTCCTATAACTAATTACAAAATATCAGAAAAAGAAATTAAGAAAACAATCACATTTACAACTGCATAAAAAAGAAACACCCTGGAAAAAACTTAAACAAGGGGGTGAAAGACACACACTGAAAAGTTTAAGATGTTGATGAAAGAAATTAAAGATGACACAAATGGAAAGGTATACCACACTTATAAATTGGAAGAAGTAATATCATTAAAATGATCATATGAACCAAGGCAATTTACAGATTCAGTGCAATCCCTATCAAACTACCAAAGGCATTTACCACAGAGTTAGAACTAATAATTCAATAATTTTATGGAACCATAAAAGAAACTGATAAGGCAGATTTCAGACACAAGAATCATCAGAAAAACAACTCCTCGAATGAATAAATAAATAAATAAAGGTGGAGGTATCAAACTCCTTGATTTCAAGGTAAACTATAAAGTTACAATAGTCAGAAGAGTGTGGTACTGGCACAAATATAGACAAATAAATCAATGGAAGAGAGCAGAGGGTCTAGAAATAAACCCACATGTTCATGTATAAATAATTTATGACAAAGGAGTCAAGAATATAAAATGAGAAAAGGCAGCCACTTCAATAAATGGTGCTTGGAAAATTGGACAGACACTTGCAAAGAAATGAATATAGTACCACACACAAAATCAAACTGAAATGGATTACAACTTAAACATAAGACCTGAATACATAAAAATTCTAGAAGAAAACGTAGGTAATAAGCTCTTTAGGATCAGTGTTGACATGGAATTTTTTGAATCTGACCTCAAAAGCAAAGGCAACAAAAGCAAAAATAAACAACTCGGACTATATGAAACCGAATAGCTTCCATACAGCAAAGGAAATCATCAACAAAATGCACTGGTGACCTACTGAATGAAGGAAAATATCTGCAAATCATATATGTGATAAGGGGCAAATATCAAAAAATACATAAAGAACTCAAACAACTGAATAGTAAAAAAACAATTTATTTAAAAATGGGAAGAGGATTTATATATTTTATTCAAAACACATACAGATGGTCAACAGGCACATGAAAAGAACATCACTAATCATCAGAGAAATGCAATCAAAATGAGATATCACTCACACCTGCTAGAATGGCTATTATCCAAAGGACAAAAAAAGAAGTTTTACAGAGAATGTGGAGAGAAGAGAAACTTTGTACACTATTGGTGGGAATGTATACTGGAGCAGCAACTATGGAAAACAGTACAAAGGCACCCCACGGTTTAAGAACAAACTACCATACCACTTCTGGGTATTCATCCAAAGAAAATGAAAAATACTAATTTGAAAAGATATATCCATCTCTATATTCATTGTGGCATTATTTACAATAGCTAAGATATGGACACAATCTAAATTAACACTGACGGGAGAACTGGATAAAGAAGATAAGGTATATACACAAAATGGACTACTGCTCGGCTATAAAAAAGGAATTTTTTTGTTTGCCATTGCAATAATATGGAGAGAACTCAAAGGCATTTTGTTAAGTGAAGTAAGTCAGAGAAGGACAAACACCACATGATTTCATGTATATGTTGAATGTAAAAAATAAAACAAAGAAATAGAAACCAAACTCAGACTCATGGTTATCAGAGGGGAGGGGGTTGGAGGGTGGGTGAAATGGATAAAAGGGGACAACTTTATGGTGACAGGAGGTACTAGACTTATTGCAGTAATCACTTTACAGTTTATATAGAAATTAAATTATTTTGTTGTATAGCTGAAACTAATTTGTTATTTTTGTTGTTGTGGTTTAGTTGCTAGGTCGTGTCTGACTCTTTGTGATCCCGTGGACTATATCCTGCCAGGCTCCTCTGTTCATGGGATCCCCCAGGCAAGAATACTGGAGTGGATTGCCATTTACATCAACTAAAAAAAAAAAATCTACATGATAACATTTCAAATAATTATTAAAACAACTTACTTTCTTCTTTCTTGCTGATAATTGCAGGCAGGGTATAAATCTGGAAAACAAAAGAAGTCAGCCAGTCATCTGCAGTTAATGAGCCACAGCAGACCATTACCAGGGTGATACTGGTTCAATGATATACAAAGGGAGTGTCTTGATTTCAAGGTCCTACAACTATTGTGTGCAAAATGTCCTCCTCCAGTCTTGCCTTCCACTCCTTTTCCTCCCTTGCTGTCCTGCCCTGGGCAAAGTTTTACCTCTTTCCCTCTGATCTAAGCATCTCATTCTATTCTCCAACATGATGCACAATCTCCCTTCTTCAGGAAGTACCTCATGATGGATTGCACCTGACTGTTTCTTCCTCAAATTATCTGCTTAGTATTTAGGGTAGCATGTACCCTAACTTGTGCTTGTTAAGCTATCACACTGTCTTCTAAATTTCCTCTAGGTCAGGGCTTGCCTCTCAACTATTAGCAGTAAAGAGACAAGTTGCTTTGCTTTTAATTTTTAATCTGTCGTTGACTGATAATTTTGTAAATTACAATAAAATGTAAACGTAATAAACATAATCAAGAATAGACAGTCTAAAATTTTTTATTATTAAATTCAACAGATGTAAAATGACTTCTAACTGCTACAAAATCTTACAGATCCTTAATCATAATCTCTGTACTCACTGTAGGCTGGTAATAGTTTGTAGGATAAACTCAAAGTCTAGGGTCCACACTTTGTGTAACTCTGTTGTTGCACAGGTATTTTTACAAGGATGTTCACAAGTTGTTTGCCATTTAAAAGATGGCTTTCAAGGGACAGGCTGCTGTCTTCTACCGGCTCTGCGTGCTCACCTCTCTAAATACTCAGTGCCTTGTGCTTCACAGAAGTCATCGGTGGCATAGTCCCTTTGAATATAAGCCTCCTTGATCATTTTAAGTGAATTTATATCAACATCAAATTACCTGTTAGAAAAATGGGGCTCTCGACTGAGGGAAATGTCAAGCTACAAACAGTTTTATCAAAGGACACTTCTAACCCATGGTCTAGGTTACCCTGAAATTTGTTCATCATGTTGATCATAAAACCTCACACTGGCCTTGCAAAGAGAAGACACTCAAGAACTATTAACTAAAAGAAGCAATCCGAACAATGTAGTCAAATTAATGATTATAAGTAATTTTTTTAAGTAATTTTAGGTTTTAAATTAGTCCTAGAAGTCTCCCTGAAAGCAAATTCAAAAGTTGGTGTTATGTGCCAGTGACACAACACGAGAAAACAGTAAGTCTCTACTCCTCGGATTTGCTATTTTAATATTTTCAAATATACTATATATAGGCATATAACTTTTTTTAGACATACTGTGCAATTATTAGAAAAATAAAATCAAGATTATAGAATGTGTCATATTCCTACCGGTTCCTTCCCATCCATGGCTTCAAGCCAGAGTTTTCTATTAGCTTCCGAAAAGGCTTGCAATGTGATGATCCCATGCCTATTAAAAACAAGTATTTTATATATTCAATTCACTTTTTTATGCCTTTAAACATATGCTATTTATTTAAATTCTTAGTTAACTATAAAAGTAAAGTTTGAAGAAAAAGCAGGAGAGAGAAAAAAATGAAAAGAGAGAAAAGAATACAGATAGAGAAAACAAATAAGAAATTAAAAAACTGAAAAGAAATCCTAAGTGTTTTAGGTGTAAGACTGTCCAAAGGAGGCTAGTCTCAAACTACTTCCCCTAAAATGACTGAAAAGGATGAAAGAGCTACATTCATCAAAGTTCAAAACCACATAAACAATCCACAATATGCGAATGATTAAGAATATGACCCAGTGTATTATCATCTAGTCACTAAAAATAATTACAATGAGTATATAGCAATATGGACTTCACTGGTGGCTCACGGTAAAGCGTCTGCCTACAATGTGGGAGACCTGAGTTCAATCCCTGGGTCGGGAAGATGCTCTGGAGAAGGAAATGGCAACCAACTCCAGTACTCTTGCCTGGAAAATCCCATGGATGGAAGAGCATGGTAGGCTACAGTCCCTGGGGTTGCTAAGAGTCGGACATGACTGAGCCACTTCACTTTCATATAGCAACATGAGAAGCCTTATACCATAACTAGTTAATTGGACAGAAGACAATAAGACCAAAGTGTTTATACAATGATCACAGTATTACCATTAACAACTTTAAAAAACAACTCTCTCCCATGCACCCATTCTGAAATAGCTACTTGAGGATGTGCTTCAAGAAAGAGCAAGCAAAGGGAGAGATGAAATCAATATGAGAGAAAAAGACAGAAAATCCAGAAAAAAAAGGGAAATTAACCTAATGAACTGTGCAAGCTGTTCATAGGATAAACAGAAACTTAGAGGGCTCTGGGACAAGGTACAACAAGAAGGAAATTTCATTTAAATATTGTGTAATTACAAGCCTAGAATGAGTTAAGACTGTGACAAAGGGATATATCTTCATGGACACAGGAAAATGGATGATTATATTGATAAGAAATGGAGAAACTGATTATAAAGATCAAAGTAATTTTATCTTGGGTAATTTAAGCCAGTTTAAAGCAGCAGTAATAACAACACTACTTGTAGGCTGTTTATTGTGTGCCAGGCACTGTTATGTCTCCTTCATTAACCTATTTATTCCTCACAACAACCCTTTGATGTGCATAGTGATTAGCCTCATTTTACAGATGAAACAACTGAAGCACAGGGTTTAACAGTGTGCTCCAAGGTTATATATCTAGAAAGCACTGAAAAAAAAGAAAAGAAAAATCACTAACATGTTAGTATCCATCTACAAAGAAAATCAAGAAGTTCCTATCACAAAATTAATAAAACCAATGGATATAAATTGATATATAAAAAAGTTAATAGTCTTTCTACATCAGTTTCAACTATAAAACAAAAATGAGTTTTCTACTAATGACAGAATCCTATTCAAAATTTCAATGAAAAGAAAACACCCAAAAGCAAAATGGGGGAAAAAAAAAGATATATAAAATCTTAGGGAGAGTTCAATTTACCATTGATTAACTAATAACAGAACTCCAGTCAAAAATCCCGAAGGAATTTTTGGAGAGAAAAGGAAACTTACTCAGCAGATCTACAAAGTATAAGAACACAGGGCCAGAACAGCTAGCACTGTTTTAAAGAAGCGTAAGGATGGGACCAAGTCCTACTAAATAATTATCATCTATAGTATATGTAAGCTATGGTATATAACAGTGTATACAGTATGTTAGAGTGTATAGTATATATTTACACGCAAAGCTAGAGTATTCAGAAGCATGGTGGCAATACAGGGGAAGAATAGATTATGGAATACAACAGAGATCAAGAAACATACTTTTCCTTACTTTGTTTCTATTCTACTTGAAACGATAAATGAGTACAGGTAAACAATTCCACTGGATGATGAGCTTGGCTGCCCAACCTTTATGTCTCTCCCAATACCCTGTGACCAAGATTGCCCAGAATAGTGCTGTGTGCACGGAAGGCACTGAACTTCACTGGCCAAAGGAGGCTTACGGCAAGTGCAGCAGTGTGTTTTTTACCCTTCGGCGCAAGGCCACCAGGTTTCAAAACCATACAGAAAGCCTGACCCAGGAGCCGTGAACAAGGCCGTCAGGCTCCTTCACTGGGATGGGGACCTTAGTCCACAATGTCTTTTTTTGACTAAGGCACTCATTCACACTAGTTTCTCAGATTCTTCGCTGTATGACATTACCCTTTGGTAGCACTCTGTATCTAATTTATTTTTTTGAAAGCATCATGTAATCCATATTTATTGAATAAACAAGTGAAAGAATGAATTAAACATATATTGCTTTTTAAAAAAGAGACTGAAAAACAAGCACTTTATGCTGTTTCGTATTTAGAGCTATACACAGAAAGAAAAAAATAATTAACTAAACAAATAATTTAGATTATTAAAAAATACAAAGTGAAAAGTTCAAACCTTTCGACCACTTCTATGTCAAAGCAAAATCGTTTATCAATTGAATCCGTCTTTCGTCGGATACAAGATTTTAATTTAAACATTTCTGGTGAGCTAGTAACAAGGCCATTCTGAAACAAGAGGTGGAACATATTTTTGACATGATGACAGAGTGAACTGAAATATATTAAATACACCATCTAAAGTTTCCATATTAAAATAACTTAGAGTACAGTTTATGTATAAAGATCATAATCATGCCCTATTTCTATAAATATTAATACAAAGATGTCTGGCTAATGTTAACTTCCCAACTGTAATACACCAAACCATTTATTAATAAATTAATCACATATATGTTTTATTCAAAGAACTCTGGGAATTCTGTGCCTATTACCCTTCAAAATAGTTACTTATGTTAAATTATACTATAATGTGTATATATTTGAATCAGAGCTGTGGAGTATTAAATGACAGCTGACAGTTGACTCCAAATCTCAAGAGAGTTACCAAAATAATAAACCTCTAGTAGATACTTGTTATAACGCTATTACTATCATGCATACCATGTGATTCTTCTGCTGGTAACCAATTGCTAGTCTGCTTCTGAAAGTAAACCTCTTTGGACAGAATCCAACATAAGCTCAATTCATAATTCTCTTCTATACCTGAAAAGCCATTCAATTTTAAGGAGAATATTTACCTAATGCCTGGTTAATTCTATTGTCTCTGGTTGCAAATCTTACAGATTTATTAGTAGAATTCTGGCTTGGTCTCTTTACTATCTCACTACTGTCACATGAACTCACTTCTGGGCAACAGCTTTTCTTACAAAAACTTGAGTAGAAACTAAGGTGTGATTACAGCATTTAACAACTTCTCGTGATGGTAGCAATATAAGATTTCTTTTTCTCTGGTATGTTCTCCTTTACTTTATATCTGTCACTTTGAATTATCAGACTCTATTGAATGCCCAAGCACAATAAGTTTCAGTTGATATATTTGAACATGTGTCTAAATTAGGTCAACATTTACCTATAGATACCACAAATTAGCTCGGGGAGTCACTTACTTTCTACCATCTTTATCTTGTAGTCAGTTAAAAGGAGGTGAGCCTCAATGATATTTAGGATAACTTCCAGCTCTAGGATTCTCAGGTGACAGCTCAGTCATCTTATTTGTAGGTCTCATCATTTGCCATATTCATATCTTAACTCACAAAAAGATTGCAAACTACATGCAATAAAGGTGTTGCACCCTGCAGCACTTCCGCATACAAAGTTCACTTAGTTTGTGCTGTTCACCACCCAGGTGAGACATCAGTGACTGACTGATCTCAGCACTCACTGATTTCTTCTGAGAAACTTTGTTGGCCAGCATTTCAGTAAGGAGGACTCAGTGCTTGCGGGGACTGTGGCATGCAGGAGCAAACGTGGGCTCCCACAGGAAACCACTGGGAAGAAAGAGGCGGACTCCGTGAGCCTTAGCCTGCCCCTGACAACCTCTGTGGGCTGCTGGCAAACACCACCACAAACGACTCTGCTGCCAGGAATGTGAGATGCCATCCACTGAGGGGTCCGTATACGTAATGTAACTGCTTATCGAGAGTCACGGCCAAAGTGAAGGAGAAGTACCAGCTCTTCTTTTTAAGTCACCAAGGTCATTTAAAGTGAGAGAAAACTTTTGTGACTTTTCAATTTTTAAAAATTGTGAACACGTTTATTAGAAAAATAAGCTCATATGATTTTTATTTCCATTTAAATAACAAGTTCAGTTAAAAAACAATAGAAAAAAAAAGATGACTCACCATTTTCCCACTGGATTTCATTTCTGAAACACTCATTGTAAAAGTTTTACTTCCTTTATCATATGTACAATAATGTTTAATCCATGTAAAACCAAGAGGTCCTAATGAAAGGAAACAAACAATACAGACTGTTAATGTAGGAGTTGCATCTAAGTTTGTGCAGTTTTCGATGCTCTGAAGTACAACTGAGGATTTCCATAGACCACGCAAGTCAGGAATGCTTACTATGAGTAAGAAAGGCCAGTCTGGAGCTAGAGTGGTATAGGGTAGAGTGTCTTGCAACCAGACAACTTGGCTTAATTTGCAGCTCTGACACAGACTTGGTGAACTCAAGAGTTACTTTAGCTCTCAGCTTTAGTTATCTCCGTGGTTTACCCACAGATGTGGGAAGGATGAGAAGGAACAGTCTGAGGTGCTATAACAGGTCTCCTTACATCTTCCTTTGTCGCCTATTTTCAAAACTGCCAGAAATGCCCTGCTCAAAATTTAGCCAGGTCATTTCATCCTTTTGTTCAAAACTTTCCAGTCATTTCTCACATCTCCCCAGATATAAACTGAAGGCTCCAAATGATCTGGATAGAAGGATATTATTGGTCTTACTGCCTTTTGCCTCCTACACTCGACTCTAGTTACACTGGACTCTGCTGGTCTCTGAACATGGAGAATGCATTTCTACCCCAGGGCATTTCCAATCATAGGACAACATCCTGCAGATGCCTGCATGACTTAAACTGTCACTTCCTTCAGGCTTTTTCCTAAATGGCACCTTTATAATATGGCCCTTTCTGTAGAGATAGCTAATATTACAACACCTTCACCATGACATTTCACTTCTTATCTCTTTTTTTTTTGCTTTACTTTCTTCTCAGCAGTTAACAAGTATATGTTAACACTTTACTAATTCATCCTATTTACTGTCTGCATCCATCACTAGAATCTATAGCTCTATGAGAGAAGGAACAAGTGATGTTCTGTGGAATAGCATATTCTTAATCCATAGAACAGGGCTAGACACATAGTTGCTCCTCAATAAAGATTTGATGAATGAAGGAATGAATTATTCATCTTTCTCTAAGACTTTATTGACCACAGAGCTGTTTCCTTTTAACGCTAATCTGAAAAAATTAAATCCAAATCTCTCTTTAAAATGAAGGGTTTCCTTGGTGTCTCAGATGGTAAAGAATCCGCCTGCAGTGCAGGAGACCCGGGTTCGATCCCTGGGTCAGGAAGATCCCCTGGAGAACAGAAAGACAACCCACTCCACTATTCTTGCCTGGAGAATCCCACGGACAGAAGAGCCTAGTGGGCTTACAGACCATGGGGTCAATGGTGCTAATGGTAAAGAACCCACCAGACAATGCAGGAGCCGTTAAGAGATGTGCATTTGAAACCTGGGTTGGGAAGATCCCCTGGAGGAGGGCATGGCAACCCACTCCAGTATTCTTGCCTGGAGAATCCCATGGACAGAGGAGCCTGGTGGGCTGCAGTCCAAGGAGTCAAACACAACTGAAGCAACTTAGCATTCATGCATGTATAATGTTCACTTTCTTTTTCTCCATAAATATAATCTTGCTGCGGTATGCAACCCTTTCCCACTGCATACCACTCTGTCATCCAGTGTTCTCCTTAGAAACTGGTCAATGCTGCTTCCCCCGGGCAAATGGATGCATCACGAGTTCAATGATTTCATGACCTCGGCAGAAGACTGCGTCTTTCCCACAGGGAAGCCAATTATCTTGCACCCAAGTGCCCCAGTGGGCTGAGTGGGTTGGAAGTGGAGCTTATTTCCTAAAGCGTCTCCACACAGGCTCTCTCTAGCAACAATTATACACAATGTTATTGCTGGCTGGGTTTTATAACAATGTATTCAAAACCAAGAAACCAAATTGTAAAAATGCACCTCTTGAGAAAAGTGTTTCATGAGCCATTTGAATTTTTTTTTCTAATAATAGTGCCCTTGGTATCATATGTAGCTTTAATACTTATACCACTCAAGGCTTTAAAATTATGGGGTGCAGCTATATACTTGGTAATCACAAAGGATTACTGCAATTAACTTCAATTCTGTTTTGGGACTATTTCATACTGTAATACTTAATAATACTTGTTGATAACTCTGTTACATGTGGTATAAAATACTTAAAGGCTTACAATTGATTAGCAGAAAGTGGCTGGATAGAAATCCTTATAGTGACTTTACTACTTAGGAAGCAATTTATGAAGCAATATTAGCTATAATTTTTAAATAAAACTCCTGCAACACTCTGATGACCTATTAGACCCAAGATGTTTCATCCTGCCTCTGTGTTAACTTCAGAACCCCATGCATTTGGTCTTCAAATGTGCTGTACACACAGGCTGCTTTCTTTAAAGTTGCTTGGCATCAGGCCAGGGCAGATGTTCTTAGGCAAGTGATTCTGAAGTCCCTAAAAAAATGTCTGGGAAAATAAAATTTATTACAGCTCTGAAGCTGCAAACCAAACCAAGTTTAATTATCTTATCCAGTGTTCATCTGAGGTTGCTGAGATGATGTCTGTGGATTGGGAAGGAAATAACATTCACTGGATACCTACTAAGTGTCAACATTTTATCTAGGAACTTTCAGAGTCAGACATTATAAAGAGCATTTTGCATAAAAGAAAGTAAAGCTTAAGAGCAGCAGATGGTGCAGCTTTCTTCATTAACAGGGCGTGTGGTTGGAGCTGTTCTCTTTAGAGGAACGCTACTTCTCAGGAGTTGTTTGAAGAATGAAATGACACAAATACAAATTGCACAGAATAGTACGGGCTCCTGAAGTACAGCGGTCTTCCCGTGTGCCACTACAGATAGCAGAGACATTCTGTATACATTATCTCCAATTCTTACAATGTTATTATGAGAGTAGATATAAATATCCCTCTTTTATAAATGAGGAGACGGAGCTCAGCAAGTTGCCTACCCAGAATCACCCAGTTAACAGGTGGCATGACATTCCAATATAGTTCTATCTGACTCTGGACCCCATGCTCTTCCTGCTTAAACTGGAGTCTACCAGAAAGCAATTCACTATATACCTGGAGGTGGGTAACATACAAACCACACACCCAAATGAAGTGGAGTGCTGTGTCTAAATAGCAATCATCTGCTACCATGCCATTACATCCATCTCCATTTATCAATCAGTTTACAGCTCTGATATTTACTATTGATCACTGGTTGCTAATTGTGTAAGTCTATCCGTCTTGTACCTCCCACAACTGAATAAACATCTTGGAGCCATATTCTTCATCTCCTTATCTCCTATTCTGTTCTCCACAAAATTTACTCAGGGATAGCAAGAGCACAATCAATGTGTCTTAGTGAAATGGCCAGATTTTCTTAATATAAATGCTCTCAAAGATTCCAAGAAGAAAGGGGCTTTGAGTACTTTTTCCTCATAGAAAAATAATTCCAAAGCATATAATCCCATTCATTTTCCTTTTAAAATCCCCAGGCAAAAGGAAGAAGTGAGGATGGTAAGTGGGAATGAAAGGAGTGAGGGATTACAGTGAGGCAAAATAGCACTTTTGAGAGTGATGAATACATGCGTTATGTTGGCTGTGGTGATAGCTTCATTGGTGGATACATGTGGCAAAATTGATCAAATTGTACATTTTAAATATGTGCAATTTATTGCATGCCAAATGTGCCTCACTAAAGCTATAAAAACAGCACAGGCAGATATAGAGTAAAATGGAGATGGACGCTGTCCTGGGAACAGGAAGAATGTCATAAGAGAGGATGCTACAAATAGAGGGGAGCCTTGAATGCCATGCGTGGCCACGGCCATCACAGGAGAGGCACAACCAAGTAAGCACTGCAGGGGAAGCTGCTGGAAGCTCTCTGAGAACGGACTGAGGTTGACAAGCCTGGAGGCGAAAAAGAACAGTGAGGAGACCAGTGCAAGACTATGGAGATGGAGAGAAGGTATGGGTTCACAGGTTATTAAGGAGACAGACAGATTTGGTCCCAGGCTACAGAGACACTGGAATTGAAGATTTACCTGAGTTCTGTAGCCTAAAAGCAGATGTTAGAGGGATAGGAACTCTCAGAGAAAAGGTCAGTGCCACAAAGGGCTTTATGATCATTTCAGACTGACCCAGAGAAGAAGTCAGGTATCTGAGAATAAAAGATATCAACATCAGACAGGTGCATAAAACACTGCATTCTGTCCATGCATCCAGACCCCAGATTATTAAAGGGCTTATGCTTTCAGTATGATCCAAATGTCCAACAGCTGGGGAATAGGTAAGCAAACCTTGGCACCATCCAGTGGATGGGCTACCAAGTAGTGACTGAACAGGACATATGTCAAGACTATGTATACAAGAATTTTGCTAGGTAATCCAAAGCTTTTTTGATTAGAACATGATATTGTATACCCACAATGATTTTAGCAACTGTGTTAACAACAGGGATGAGGGGGGACCTCAAGAAATAAAGTATTGCTGAGCTGCAATGAATAAAAAATCTTTGGGCAACAGGACCACACCTCCTCTACCAGATGCAGATTTGACAAGCCTCACTATCCACATATTCCCCCAACAGACACAGTGTAAGCTCCCCTCCATGTACCCTCACACTGAGGCTCTCAAATATGGAAAAACCATTCAGTATGCAGAATCTTTCTTAGGGATCTGAGTCAGATCCATGTACTCTGCATTTATGATCAATGAATTGGTCTTTTTTCATGAAATTTTGGAAAAAACTATTTATTATATTTTAATTATAGATTATAAAGGCAGGACATTAGATTTATCATTTTAACATCTGAAAACAGTAGACTGGTCAAGGTAGATAGCTATGAGAGGGAAAATCCTGAAACCAGATCCCCTGAGCCAGCAGCCCACTATGACCAATGTAGTAATAAATGTTTGCTGAGACTACTGGACCAAACTGTTATCTGCTTGTGTACTGTTAAGGAACAAATGACAATCATCTGATCATGTCAAATATAAACTACCTTGGCATATTAGTGATCATTTTGCATTATGCCCCCAAAACTTTCACAGTCAACATCTACAGCTTCCACATCTCAAACCCTTTAACTATAATGTCTTCAAGACAACTACCCTGATCTATTGTCTAGAGATGGGGAGGCTTAGGGCAATGCTACTCCATGTCATCTTCAAGTCCACACATGTGAGAAGAACTACAGAAAGTGAGAATAGGCATTTCACAACTTTTAGAGCAATCTGAGATTACTGCACAATTCAGGCATGTGATTCTGTGTTTTATGAAGACCCTGACCCATGATGCACTGGAGATGCAAACAGCTGTTCCTTCAACACAAAGAGTAAGAGAGTGTTTTAGGGCACTCTGGTTTGAAACAGAGTTAATTTAATCACTGGTTCTGCTTAATGACAAAAAAAGGACCCTAGCTATACAAGTTTGAATGGCTTTTATTAACTACTGTGAGAAAAACTTCTCAGTGTGAGGCAATTATAATAGCGCTCTATTGGATCTGAAGCTTATTTCCCAACACCAGGAAGTAAACAGTCCCAGTTTGATATTACATAATTGCCAGTTTTACTCCTAAAAATTGTCAGAGCACAGAATTAAACAACATAATGCTGCTGAAGGGGAAAACCACTACCAAAGTCACCAAGATGATCTATCTGATAAAGGCTTTGGGTTTTAATTCTCCATGAAACTTTGCATTGAGATCAGACACCATAATTAAATTCTAAAACTGAACTCATGCTACGGTATCATCATGAAGATTCTAAGTTCCAAGTTCAAAAACATACCAGCTTAGAGAATCCAATGGTGAAAAGTGGAAAAACTTCCACATTCAGTGATAGTCGCTGGCCAAGCAGACCACATAGGATAAAGCTGTAAGGAATTTCAGTCTTCCTTCTTGAAGGAAAAGTAAGTAACCAACTCACGTCTCATGGAAAACAGAATGCTAATCTTAAGAGACATTAATCTACGTCTTTGCAACTCACGTTTCTCCTGGACATACAAGTAGCCTTCCATTGTCCACTGGCTGGGTGGCCGGTAATCTTGATTGGCAGATTTCATCCTCTGCATCAATCGCTCTACCTCTTGTCGAGTACTTTCAAAATTATTCCTCGTCTTTAGTAAATAGAAACAACAACTTCATTCAGTGTTTTCTACCAGTTTTGAGGAACACCCAGTCTAAGGTTTCAAGACTACAAATGGTGCTAAGGATAACTTTGACTCTTTCAGGACCGTTCACCATATCCACCACCATCTACACTGAATCCCATGCTTTAATTTTGAATTGCTTTAGTGAAACTTTTCTGAATGACCTTCTGCATGTTTCTCTTTGAATCTGTGTATATGTGTGTGTTATCCACTTTTGCACTTAACATTATGTAGGGAAGAACTTATAGCCTTACAAAAACAAGATATTAATTAAAATAGCATTTTGTATCCCATAATACCTAAGATAAAAAAAAGCAGATACACAGTAACTTAATTTGTTTTGAGGGTTAAAATAAATTCACATAGTTTTGATATATGAGGCACTTACCAAGAAAAAGCTTCATCATTTTTATTCCAAACACCTCTTTGAAGAAATATCACTTACCTTGTTTTCCCAAAATCCTAACATAGTTATCAGGAGGTCAATGCATAAGTTAACACATAAAAATGAATAGGTTTCCAAGTTCTAAGGTCTTCTACTGTAGGAAATAATTTACTTACACCATAGCAAGTTTACTTAAGGGAAAAAATAGAAAGTATATGGCTTTTCTCTATGAAAATCAATTTTGCATTCAGGTCACATTATCTCAACAATATGCGCTTGGAAACATAAGAATAATTACCAACCTGTGAGGCAGTGATGATTACCACTTTGTTATGGCCCCTAATAAAAGATCTGAATCTCAAAGTAAAGTTAGGAAAGTTTTCTTAGTTGCCACTTTTGCTGCTTTTCCCATTAAAACATAAGGATCTGAATTTTTTCCAATATTTTACCTGTCTCTTGTTCTCAAATCCCAGGAATCTTATTGCAATTGCATTTAATATGGAAATAATAAAAATACTTTGGGTTTATAATTTTCCCTTTTAATATTTACTGAGAAAGCCCAAATGCATTCCATATTGAAAAACAATGGAATGAATTGCATGTGAAATTGATTCTGTGAGAAAATCTAGGTTAAATAAAAAGCTAAATGCAAAACACAAGTAGAATAAATGCAATTACTTATTTCTCATGGTACGCTCCAACTCCATATTTCTATTTGCTGAACATCTTTACAATGGCAAAAATCAGGTAAGGAGTGACAGGCATGCTTTTTATAGAAAATCAAGTGAAACCACAAATTACTTTGGCTACAGAGTACCAGTCACGGTTTCAGAAATAACTCTTGATTTACACAGAATCCTTAGCAATTAAGATTTTGTCATTGGCATCATCGACTCAATGGACATGAGTGTGAGCAAACCCCGGGAGATGGTGAAAGGACAGGGAAGCCTGGTGTGCTGCAGTCCAAGAAGCTGCAGAGTCCAGACGTGACTTAGCAACGGAGCAACCTATTTGATAACACAGAATGGGTTGGCTAGCTTTTTAAAGTGCAACTGGCATCCAGTACCTGTAAATCAGAATTCATATAGCTGCAATCAGCTATATGGACAACTTTGCAAAATAAACTCTCCCAGAAATAGATAGGATGTTTTTAAATAATTCTTCCTGAAGCTTTAAAGCAGCTTTTATGGATGCTTGAAAGCCACATTTAAATTTATTTTTAGAAAACAGCAAATATCACCTATAAAATAAACAGCTTCAGGGAGGAAAGGGAAAGAGCATGTCCATTGTGAAAATTCCTTTCACAACTGTGAAAGGAATAGAAATACTGCCCTCTCAGGAAATACGACATGCCTAGGGTCACTCAGTAAAATAATGAAAACACTAGATAAAGGCAACAGTTTCCAAAGTTTCTGCACTCAGATATTTTAATTTTCATGAAATTTGCCAGTATATATTTTTCTAACATAAGATTAGCTCTTATTTTAAAAAATCAATAAATTTATTAAGTGGTTTTTCTAAATGAGTGAGGCTTTATTGTACTCAGATAAGTTTTTGAAAGCCTCCAAAGTTCAGCTTGGCTATAACTCAGTTGCCCTGGGATCATCTGATTAACTAAGGAGAGGCGGTGAGAACAGGTATAGTCTTACATTCTGCAAGTTGAACTGCAGCTGTTGTTTATACGGTGCAAATTCCTGGGCGAGTTCATATCCCTCATGGTAGAAAGTAAATAAACCCTGAAGGAACGATAAAAGCTGCAAAAAAAAAGATAAAAAATAAACCATAAAAATGTATTTTCTTAAAAGGATGATCATCAAATAAAATAAATTAGAGAAATTATGTTTCATTCTAATTCCTCACGCTAGTAGGTTTTGAATATCCTTAGCAAAGTAGGCACTAGAATTACAGATATGAAACAGAAGCCATGGAAGCTAATTTTTACTTCCTTTTGGGCAGATGTGATTTAACTTTTAGGTCTTGTCATGGACAGTTGTCATGTTAACTACTCTTCAAATGCACTTACAAAATATCCAGGAGAGAATTAATGGGGATAAAGATGAAAATAACACAGTTCAGTTCAGTACAGTCGCTCAGTCATGTCCGACTCATTGTGACCCTACGATCAAGAGTCTTCTCCAACACCACAGTTCAAAAGCATCAATTTTTCAGTGCTCAGCTTTCTTTATAGTCCAACTCTCACATCCATACACGACTACTGGAAAAACCCTAGCTTTCACTAGACAGACCTCTGTTAGCAAAGAAATGTCTCTGCTTTTTAATATGCTAAGTTGGTCATACTTTTTCTTTGAAGGAGCAGGTGTCATTTAATTTCATGGCTGCAGTCACCATCTGCAGTGATTTTGGAGCCCAAAAAAATAAAGTTTCTTACTGTTTCCATTGTTTCCCCATCTTTTTGCTTTAATAGGATGGGACCAGATGTCATGATCTTTTTCCAAATGTTGAGTTTTAAGCCAACTTTTTCACTCTCCTCTTTCACTTTCATCAAGAGGCTCTTTAGCTCTTCTTCACTTTCTGCCATAAGTGTGGTGTCATCTGCATATCTGAGGTGACTGATATTGCTTCTGGCAATCTTGATTCCAGCTTGTGCTTCCTCCAGGCCAGCATTTCTCATGATGTACTCTGCATAGAAGTTAAATAAGCAGGGTGACAATATACTCCTTTCCCAATTTGGAATCAGTCTGTTGTTCCATGTCCAGTTCTAACTATTGCTTCTTCACCTGCATACAGACTTCTCAGGAGGCAGGTCAGGTGGTCTGGTAGTCCCATCTCTTTCAGAATTTTCCACAGTTTGTTGTGAGTCACACAGTCAAAGGCTTTGGTGTAGTCAATAAGGCAGAAGTAGATGTTTTTCTGGAACTCTGTCACTTTTTCCACGATCCAATGGATGTTCGAATTTGATCTCTGATTCCTCTGCCTTTTCTAAATCCAGCATGGACATCTGGAAGTTCACAGTTCACATACTGTGGAAGCCTGGCTTGGAGAATTTTTAGCATTACTTTGCTATCGTGTGAGATTAGTGCAATTGTGTGGTAGTTTGAGCATTCTTTGGGATTTCCTTTCTTTGGGATTGGAATGAAAACTGACCTTTTCCAGTCCTGTGGCCACTGCTGAGTTTTCCAAATTTACTGGCATATTGAGTGCAGCACTTTCACAGCATCAGAAATTAGGATTTGAAATAGCTCAACTGGAATTTCATCACCTCCACTAGCTTTGTTCATAGTGATGCTTCCTAACACCCACTTGACGTTGCATTCCAGGATGTCTGGCTCTAGGTGAGTGATCACACCATCATGGTTATCTGGGTCATGAAAATCTTTCTTGTATAGTTCTTTTGTGTATTCTTGCCACTCCTTTTTAATATCTCATGCTTCTGTTAGGTTCAATGGGTAACAGGCTTCCCTGGTGACTCCAATGGTAAAGAATCTCCCTGAAATGTAGGAGACCCTGGTTTGATCCTTGGATCAGGAAGATTCCCTGGAGAAGGGAATGGCTACCCACTCTAGGATTCTTGCCTGGAGAATCCCATGGACAGAGGACTTATGGGGCTATACAGTCCGTGGGGTCAGAAAGAGTCAGACATGACAGAGCGACTAACAGCAACTAACTAACTAACCCTAGAAGAGATTCTAACCAGAAGTCGGAGATCAAAAGCGTGCAGATGTGAGGAATACTAAACCAGTAAGCCAGAAATAAGAAGTGCCCAAAGATGAGATGGCCAGGTGAAATTCAGGAAACGAGCACAAGGTGGCAGTACTGGCCTATGTAATACACAGAGAATATTTTAGCAAGCGGCAGGAAGAACTCAAAAAAGAAGTTAGAGCTGAGCAAAAACATGGAGCTAGATACAGATCTTTTCAGGTTAAGAGTTAGAATAAAATTTTCTTTGCAAAAGCACAATTTCCATGACCCCAGCTTTCTAATCCCACATTCATATGCACTTATTTATGATGTTTTTTATCTGTAAAGTAAGAGCAGCTGTCCATGGAGTTATAGGACACGGTCATTTATATGAAATATTATAACTGAAAAATAATTTATTTAAATTTTTCATTTAATTTCCTGGGATTTTATTCCATATACATGTCTACCAATTCAATCTCTTCCACAACTTCTTCCTACAATAAAGTTAGAGCTAAAGTTTTTCTAATTCAAACAGCATAGCATGTCTGTAAACTATTATTTTATATGAGGAAAGAAACACAATTTGAAGCCATCTTCATATGTGAATAACATCCTGTCATTTCCTCTGTCTGGGGAAGAAGGAGGATTCAGTCAAGCATCAATTGGTATGTGTGTTATGATTTCCAACAGTTCTGCAATGACCTAATGCTTCTCTTCCTAAACAAGTTAACTTCTTACAAAATCATACACATTTTGGAAAGCATATTCTTTCAAACTGGTGTTAAGTTGTTACATTTTAAGGAATTTCCTTTACTTGTTCAACAGTTCCTGATATGTGTCAAAATATATTGTCTGTAATTTTAGAATTATTTTATGCTGTCAATTTTATATCAACAAATAATTATTAGGGAAACTAAACATTTAGTAGATTACCCTTTATTAAAAGGATGCTACATACATTTGTTAAATTATTCAATAATATAAGATATATAGTCTGCACATATTATGACCCTATTTAAAAGAACTGTATCTTAAAATAGGATTAAAAACCCTTTAATTAACCATGGCATAGATATGTAAACTTAGAGATTTTCAGAGACAAAATAAGAAAATACCTTTGAAGTATATACTTAGGCAACAGTAGCCTTCTAAATACTTGCATAGTAGTTATGAATTTGTTGCAAGTAATATTGTTTCATTTCTTAATGTCTATACTGTCTTACTAGGAACTGGATATCATAAAAGAAAGATACTATTGTAATATTATGCAAAGTATAGAGAATTCAACTTACAAAGGAGATACTTTAAGAACATCTGCAATGAATATTCCTATAAAGCACCCAATTCCCTGAGATCCATTTTCTACTGGCAACTTCTAGTAAAATTCAGATTTGCTTAGCAGTAAACAACTATGTTTTAATCTCACAGTGCATGCTGAGCACCCACTAGGGAAAGGACAATTCTTTAGGAGGTAGAGAAAAATTATATACAAAGACTTATCTACCTTTTACTTTTGCTCCACATCTACTCTGGAAGCAGCATTTGAAAAACTTTAATAAAGACAGCATGTATGACATAATTGCCTCTAGGTGGTGGCAAAGTTAAATGTTTAGTTAATTTCATTCTGAACAAATTCCATGATGCTAAATCACGGGAACTTAACAGGACAGCCTGACAGTCTTTAGGAACTGCATTTCCCCGTGTCACTTTCTTTCCGTGTGCCTGGGTGGGTGCAGTGGCAGGGAAAAGACTATTGCCTCAGCTTACCTTAAAGTAAATCTGACTTTTAAAATGATAATATTAACATTATTATACTAATAAGCCAGTAGGTAGACTAGGTTTTAATATTAAGAAAGGCACTTTTACCATCAGGAAAAACATATAACACTTTATCATTCCCAAGGGTTTTAGGATCAATTTACCTCGCCACTGGAACAAACTGACCAAATGTAAAAACTGATACTGCAGTTATAGATGAATAATCATTTAGCAAAACCCATAGCAAGTCAACAAAGGAATAGCTTAATAACAATTTCTCAGCTGATTAATCACCAGGTCACAGCTCAGTTGGTAAAGAATCCACCTGCAATGCAGGAGACCCCAGTTTGATTCCTGGGTTGGGAAGATGCACTGGAGAAGGGATAGGCTACCCGTTCCACTATTCTTGGGCTTCCCTTGTGGCTCAGCTGGTAAAGAATCCACCTGCAATGCGGGAGACCTGGGTTCGATCCCTGGGTAGGGAAGATCCCCTGGAGAAGGGAAAGGCTACCCACTCCAGTATTGTGGCCTGGAGAATTCCATAGACTCTATAGTCCATGGGGTCGCAAAGAGTTGGACATGACTGAGCGACTTTCACTTCAAGTCTTAAAGGCCCACAGTTACCGGTAAAACTCGGAGTAACAGAGAAAAGTGAGAAAAGGGGTTGGGACTAGCAAGGGTGTGAGGGGCACACTTCTGAAGCAATCCAGAGTGATTCCTGTAGTTTCCGATGACGGATGACCAAACTGGGCAAAACTGGAATAATGAACACAGTGTGACACTGGAACAAGGACAGACATACGCATCAACAGAAGAGAACTGAGAGGCTAGAAATAAACCCAGATATCTACAAACAACTTATTTTCAACAAGGGTGCCGAGATCATACAATGTGTACTAAGTCACTTCAGTCGTGTCTGACTCTGTGCCACCCCATAGACAGCAGCCCACCAGGCTCCCCGTCCTGGGATGCTCCAGGCAAGAACACTGGAGTGGGTTGCCATTTCCTTCTCCAACGCATGAAAGTGAAAAGGGAAAGTGAAGTCGCTCAGTCACGTCAGACTCTTAGCGACTCCGTGGACTGGAGCCTATCAGGCTCCTCTGTCCATGGGATTTTCCAGGCAAGAGTACTGGAGTGGGTTGCCATTGCCTTCTCCAATACAATGTGTAAAGAATAGTCCTTACAACAAAGAACTCTTAGACCACTGAAGAGCCACATGGAAAAGAATGGAGTTGGACACCTAACTCAGAGCACAGACAAAAACGAATTAAAATTGGGTGAACTGAAGAGCATCGGTATTACATCCCAATAATGTTTTTAAAAAATACAAACATTCTCATAAACAGAGCATCAT